TACAGTTTTCTCGTTATGAAAGTGTTTTTCTTTTACCAAAATTGAATATTTAACAATTTTTTGTTGAAATATCAAATTATAAAGCGAATCAAATACATTTTTCGTTTTGTAAAACTATTTAACAATTATTTGTTAAAATGTTGAATTATACTGAGAATTACAGTTTTCTTGTTATAAAAGTGTTTTTCTTTTATCAAAATTGAATATTTAACAATTTTTTGTTGAAATATTAAATTATAAAGCGAATTCGTCATGAATCAAATACATTTTTCGTTTTGCGAAAATATTTTTTATCAAATACCAATTTTTAACAATTCTTTCTAAAAATCTTGAATTGTACTGCGAATTGAAGTTTTCTTGTTAATAAAAGTATTTTTTTTATACTAAAATTCAATATTTAACAATTCTCTGTTGAAATATAGAATTTTAAAGCAAATTCGTTATGAACCAAATACATTTTTCATTTTGTGATAATATTTTTTTTTCCACTTACCAATTTTTAACTTTTCATTGTTAAAATATTGAATTGTACTGTGAATTACAGTTTTCTTGCTATAAAAGTGAATATTTAACAATTCTTTGTTGAAATATCAAATTATAAAGCGAATTGGTCATGAATCAAATACATTTTTCGTTTTGTACAACTATTTAACAATTCTTTGTTAAAATATTGAATTGTACTGCGAATTACAGATTTCTTGCTATAAAAATGTTTTTCTTTTATCAAAATTCACGATTTAACATTTCTTCCTTGAAATATCAAATTATAAAGTGACATAGTCATCAAATACATTTTTCGTTTTTTGAAAATATTTTTTTTTTACCAAATAAAACTTTTTAACAATTCTTTTCTTTACTAAAGATTTAAGAATTCTTCATTGAAATATCAAAAAGAAACGCGAAATACATTTTTCTTGCTAAAAAAGTGACTTTTTTTTACAAAAATTTAATAATTAACAATTCTTCAGTGAAATGTCACAAGTTGATGTGAATTAAGAATTACATTTTTCTTACTAATAAAGTCGGTTTTTTCACTAAAATTTACTAATTAACAATTTTTCATTGAAAGGTGATGCAAATTGAACTTAAAATTGTATGCATTTCTTTCATGTTATGAAATTTTAACAAATTACATTGTTTTTGATATAATGCGGAGTCGATGCACAATAATTTTTTGACACACTTTCACTGGTCGATTTCGCAAGAAACTATTTGCTCATCCGACATGCAAATTCCATTATACCGCTCGACATTAATTAGCGATCGACGTTAATCGCCCGGCAAAACTGCAAGTAACTCAATAATCATTGGAAAATTTCCAAACGGATTGCATCTCGCGAAACGCTCATTAGGAACAACAGCAGCAGCAGCAGCAACGAGATTAACATTTTGCACTGTTGCGCGTCTTCGCAATCATCAGAAGAGACAAAAGACCATTACCAAATCCCATAGTTCATCATTACATGCACATCTTCACACTCATAAAACAACAAAAAATAAAAAGGACTACAAGATTTATACTATCTCTCTTCCTAGTTACGTCACGTCTGGCACATCTGATTTGTCATCTTCACGATTAGCTCTGGATTTATTTCCTGCCCGGTTTCGGGTGTTATCTAGCAAAACCTTTCTACGTTTCCAAATCCCCAAAGGTGCAAACCTATACCGTTCGATCGCATCGGATGATTTACTTTGCGCTCGGGCGTTAAACGCGTTCCAAAAGCGATTATAATTCCACAATCATCTTCTCCTGTTCGAAATCCGCTGTTTAACGAGCGCAACCAATTACTCATGCACATACACATACACACATCGAGTTTCCTCCTCGTTGCATCACGTGGATCTCTTCAAAGTTTGCTTCCAATCTCTGCAATTACCGGAGACGGATTTCGCAAATCCATTAAGCGTTTTACAGCGCGTCGTGTAAAAGAAACACGGATCAGTCTGATAACTATATATATAAAACTTGTAAAACGTGACTCAAACCCAAATCCGAAGCATTTCTTTTCATTTTATTAGTTTACTATCAAATTCTTACCGTGACGTGAAATAGAAGATCGAAATAATCGCAACGATTTTTAAGCACGGGAATACCGAAAAATTCACGTAATCAAAAAGAATAATTAACGAGCAGCGATGAATTTCATAACATATATGTAAAAAAAAAGAAGCAAGATTTACGGGAGAAGAAGCGCTTCTCACGATTGCCGCACATTTCATGCAATAAACTGGATGTAGCAAAAGTATGTAGACTCGAAAAAATGAGTACTAGAAGATGAGAAGGAAAAGTGAAATTCGCGTTATTCAATCCGTTAAACTAAAATGTCCATGTTTGTAAACCGACTATTAAAATTTAACGACCGTTTGTCAACTCGCACAAAATGCATCACAAATTATCATCATTTCTTATAATTACATAATTTTTCTTCTTCTAAAATTTTGTTTTATCTCTTAATTTGAAATTCAACTCACCACATAATGAAATATCATCAAATTTACTTATTTTTCATAATTGCAATTTACCATACTTAATTATAACTATCATCACTATTTAATTATGTTTATTAAACTCAGTGATTTTCAACCAGTGAGATGATCTGGGTGTGCTATGAAAATTTTAATAGATTCAAGATTCAATTATTTTCTAACAAAGTCATAATAAGTGTTTAAGTAAAACTTTAAGTGTGCCTTGAGTTAATTTTGAAGAACACTTATAAAGTTAATTATATAATTTTGTAGATTAGGCTTGAAATAAATTACATCTGTTTCTTAAATTATCTTCGATGAATGCAATTTCTAGTAATAATAATACCATTTCCTGGACGGAATATCGAATTACCTCGACTATAGAATTGCTTTGCTTTCATTTAAACAAAGATATTGCGAAATCCATAATATTTGCATTACAACAGTTCGTTTTGTCACAGTCTACATTATTCATTTCAAGTTACAATAATTCATCTAGCGAATTTATTAAATTCCATTAAAAAATAAGACACGACGATTTATTTTAAGATTTCTTCAAATTTTGCGTAAATCAAACTTTCTTATATTGACAATTAAAAAAAAACTTGAAAGTTTTAGAGAGAAAAAAATGATGATTCTTAAATGAATAATTTATAGTTTACACTCACGCACAGTCAAATAAAATTCTACAAAATTTATTATTTTTGTTCAATTTCTATAATTAACTTCAATACTTAATATATTTATTAACACTTCAAAGATAAAAAAAATAATAATCTTAATCACGTAAAACAAATATTTTTCCGTTCCAGTACAATAATAATAAATTAATTTACAAAAAAGATTAATTGTTGCTATAAATAAATTTAAATTACTTTTTGCATTACGAATTTTATAAAACATTTATGCAGATTTCTGTAACTGAGAGAGTTAATTAAAAAAAAATCAGGTATAATATCAAGTATAAAATTAGTTAAGTAACAGCAAATGCATTAATGTAAGATGCATTAAAACATCAAGGTTCTTCTTTGATTCAATTAAAAAAAAAATCTCGTGCTTTTCATCGTGATTTGGAAGAACAAATTTGAACCTTGAAGAAGATGTTAATTTATATGAAATTACGAGATTATAATTCAAAAATAATGCAATACCTTTCATTAGATAAGTTTCGTATAAGTAATTAACTCGCGATTTGCATAATAAACTATTCACAGTCACAACCATCGACAACAACAAAAAAGTATATATTAATGGACCAAGGTAATCCAGATCTGCATTAAATAGATCAATAATATTACACGTACATAACGTTAAATGTTAAGACACAACCTCGAAAGTATGCTTAATATTCAAAATAAGTCAATTATAATAATCAGTTTAGAAGAGTTAAGCAGAATACGTTGCGGGTCTAGTTGAATTGGTGATCGTAGATCAAAGACACGCACGTAACGTTAAATGTTAAGACTCAGCCTCGAAAGTATGCTTAAGTGAAGCTTAATATTCAAAATAAGTCAATTATAATAATCAGTTAGAAGAGTTAAGCAGAATACGTTGCGGGTCGTAGTTGAATTGGTGATCGTAGATCAAAGACACGCACGTAACGTTAAATGTTAAGACTCAGCCTCGAAAGTATGCTTAAGTGAAGCTTAATATTCAAAATAAGTCAATTATAATAATCAGTTTTGAAGAGTTAAGCAGAATGCGGCGCGGGTCGTAAATGAATTGGTGATCGTAGATCAAAGACACGCACGTAACGTTAAATGTTAAGACTCAGCCTCGAAAGTATGCTTAAATGAAGCTTAATATTCAAAATAAGTCAATTATAATAATCAGTTTAGAAGAGTTAAGCAGAATGCGTCGCGGGTCGTAGTTGAATTGGTGATCGTAGATCAAAGACACGCTAAATGTTAAGACTCAGCTTCGAAAGTATGCTTAAGTGAAGCTTAATATTCAAAATAAGTCAATTATAATGATCAGTTGAGAAGAGTTAAGCAGAATACGTTGCGAGTGGTAGTTGGATTGGTGATCGTAGATCAAAGATTGCTTAACAACATAAATCTTAAGAAAATTTCGGGTAAATGGAAAAGACGGTTCGATGACCGTCTGAGACAGACACATTAACAATTATCAAATGTAAACAAGATTAGAAATATGTGTATCCAAGAAGTAAATAAATCTCTTGATCTCGTGATCATCGTTAGTAATGTAGTAATTTATTTGACTGTAAGTAAAACTTTCGAACTGCGTATTCTTCGAGATGAAAACGTTCTTGCATAATAAGTAAAACTGAAAAAATAACAGTGACATACATGTCGTAGTGCGATAAGTTAATAGAACGAGGTTCGCCTTCTTACACAAAGGTAACATGGGCTAAGTGCAAAGTGCGGTACGTGGAAAAACGAGAAACGCGTCGTTTTCGTCGCAAAACAAAAAAAAAATCATCGACGGAGCGATTTTTATTTTCCTCCGTATTTTTTTTTGTTTTGTTGCAGCTGGTGGGAGTCGTCGGATTGCGGCAAGAAAATAAAAACAATCCATTTTACGCGAACTCCGCCAGTTGTCCGCTCGCAAACGCCGCAAACACCCACGACAATGACAAAAAAACGTACATTTCCATGAGTTTCAAGTTAATAAAAGTTACAATTTTCAGTGCAATGTTTTCAGTGCCCCAACAACAACAACAACAAAGTTACTACAAACATTGTTGATTAGAATTTAAGGACTTTAATGCTTAATGCATACATGTGTGTATATATAAATTGAAAAGTAAGTTAAATTACTTAATGTTCGATAACCTTTTCTTCAGTTCAAAAGATATTTCGTTTAACTATTTGTTTTAAACGTAACTCATATGTTTTCTGTTGTTGTTCCACTGTTTTTTTTTTAAACAACAACACTCTACTCAAACTAGAACATTTAATAGATTTGATGAATAACAATTTCGTCATCGAATTAGATCATTCAATTAATTCATCTATCAAACTTTAAGAAATCTTAATTTGAACTTAACAGAAGTTACCTTTAAAAAAAAACAAATAAGTAAATGTATTTAGCAAGAATAGATTATTTTGAACGGCAATTAAAACAGATGTTAATTACAACGCGTACAGTAATTAAGCAACGCTCGAGGAGAAAAGAAACATATTTTTTAATTTCCTCTCCAATTAAGCAAACACGTTTTATTTATTTTCTTGCATGCGGAATCTTAAAGAGTAATTGCATTCAATTGGCGCGTTACATATCGAAATAACGATTATCTTGTGCATGCGATCGAAATAGATGGAAATGGAGGAGTCGTGGAAAAGACAGACAAAGTTGATGATGTTTTCGCGATCCGCTGAAGCTTTCTTATCGCTTGCTTTCCTTGTAGTAATTACGACTTAGATAGTTATTTTTAGTCGCCGGCCATTCCATATTATTGATTACCGAAGATCATCCGAAGTCGTTCGATCCACGAAAATCCAATGCGTAACAAATCTTGACCTATTTATATTATAGAGAAGGTAAAAAAAAAACATCCAGCGTAAAGCAGAATGCGTAATAATTAAATTACACCTTTAGCTGCGCGATTTCAACTCATAAATCATAATTAATAAACGCCTCGGAATCAAGAACAATCATCGTTGCGTAACTTGATTTTGTTAATGTTGTGTGTGTGTCTTGATTCTTTGATTAATTGGGTCGAGTCCGGACAATGAATGAAGTTCTGGTAAAAGTCGCCCACGCCGCTGAATTACATAAGTCGAGGCATTTGCATAACAATTCGGGTTTAAGAAAAAAAATCATCTTGAAAATATTAAATGTTATTACGCTTTTTCTTTTGAATCGTTTCCTTTTGCTCCTGCGGTTTTTAATACCAAGCAGTTTCTGTCTGAAGATAAAAGTGCCAAGGTCGTACACAAAATAAGTCGATTTTGGTTTTGTACGGGCTAAAGCAGTTTAAACGACTTTTTAAATATCATGTTGTATACAATTTGGGCGACTTTCCAATCATGTTTGTTCATGTTTCAGATGAAGTTTTCTACATGGTTTCTATAAGAATATAAGTGATGATTAAAGCGCGAAGGACGACCAAAACGGGAGTCGTCTTCCTCCTGACCGTGATAACAACCACCACGCTTTTGGCTATATACAATCAGGCCGTTCCGCCTTCCCATCAAGTCATCTCCATCGACGAAGACGACTCTCCGAACTTTGATTACGGCCACTACGACGCTGCGAATTGGAGGAACTTGAGCAAAGATAAGGTATTATTGCTTCCACGCCCTCCGAAGCACATTCCTAATGCAAATATGCAACATTCACCGCGCTCAAAAGAAAAAAACAAACTATTTTTAGAAATCGTTACTAATAACATTGGTTTTTCCTATTTTAGATTCAAAGCTTATCAAAGCTAGGAAGAATATTGTACTTGGATGAGGAGCTTCCTGAGTTGATACAGACAGCGAAGCAATTCAAAATCCTGGTGTGGAAGTACGGATCCACGATAAACGATAGACACATCAAACGATACTCGAGCGAAAAGTAGATTTACAGATAATCAAGTTAACGTAATAAAATATTAATTGAAGAATTGTAGCCATGATCCGTTCGAATACTGTTCGGTCAAAAATTGCATCTTGACGTACGATGGTGATCAACTCGCTAACGCCGATATAGTTCTGATCCACTTGCATCGAACGACTGGTACTAAAGATTTACCACCCAACGACAAGAGATCGCCCAACCAAATATGGGCCTTCATGACTGACGAAAGCCCTTTTCACACATTCCTGCACACCAAAGAGAATAAATTCATCGAATACAACGGAATCTTCAATTGGTCGATGACCTACAGGTAAATCTCACAACATTATCAAGTTTATGTCAGGAATTAATTGATTTTTTTTAGAATGGATTCTGATATTCCGGTTCCTTACGGCCGGACAATATTGCGTCCTTACGAGGATCCCAGTAAAGAATTCGATCTCTACAAGTGGTTCCTTTCGAAGAGGCACGACGTGCTGGTAGCAATAATGGGTTCCAATTGCGGATCCAAGAATCACAGATGGGAATACGTGAAGCAATTGCAGAATCACATGTCCGTCGACGTGTACGGCGCTTGCGGAACTCTAAAGTAATCAACATCATCGATTTGATTAATTCTCTTAATATAATATAAACTAATTGCAGATGTATGGGGCACTTCAGGATGGATTGTCCGGACATCAACAGATACATGTTTTACCTGTCGTTCGAGAATTCCAATTGCGACGAGTATGTAACAGAGAAGCTGTGGTGGAACGCCTACGCGAAGAACGCGATTCCCATTGTCATGGGTGCCCCGAAGGATAACTACACTTCGTTGCTTCCGCCCAATTCATTCATAAACGTGGACGATTTCGCCACTCCCCGAGACTTGGCCACTTACTTGAATTACTTGTTCAACACGCCCAGCGAATTCAGGCGATTCTTCCGATGGCGCAAACATTTCCAAGTCCTCAACGAGCACGGCTACTTCCAGAGTCTCTCCTACCATTATTGCAGGGTCTGCGAAGCGATGAACTACAACAAGAAGCAACCGAAGGTCTACAAGGATCTGCAAAAGTTCTGGAGCGTCGACTCGAACTGCTACCCGGCTTGGGACAAAATCTACGACTGAATCCTTTTGTATACAATATGTACAAACAAAAAATTAATTTATTTATACCCAAAACGTTGATCTACTTTTATTTTATTTTACTGTAAATAAATTGACAAAACGATTTTTACGAAAAAAAAAATGTCAGACGCCGGTGTGCAGCAACCCGAAAACCCCGAATTAGAGGTGAAATATTTGGGGGATGAAGCAATTTATTTCTACACAAAACCCAAGAAGGGCAGAAGCAAAGTCCCACCGCCGACTCCATCCTACGACATGGATTTCGAGCGGAACTTGGAGATCCCGGTGATAAACGTCGGTCAAATAGATGAAATCCCTGAAGTGCAAGAAGAGGGCATCAAGTTCACCATAGAAAATCTAGGTAGACGATTGGGATGCGACAACTACGAATACGATTTGATACAGTTCTGGTTCCTCGACATACTCACCGACTGCATGTGGAAAGCCCAAGACATCTTCCAATTCACATCCATCGAGCAGAAAATCATCCTCAAATGGGTGACCGAAATCTTCAAGATTATAGCCGGTTATTAAACAAATTGTATTTTTTTTCACTCATTATCCCTCAAAATTACAATTACAGATAAAAGCCTAAACATTACTCGAAAAGGCTTCCTGAAAATCTTCAAACTCATAATCGTGAGAATGTACGGGGAAATTTCAAAGCATTGCGAATCTTTTCCTACAACTGATATGATCCATGAAATGGTGAACGAATGCTTCAATGATGTCGAAGATGTAGATGATGAAAGCGAATCCGACGACGATTCTTCGTGTTCGGAGACGACAATGTCTTCATTTACCAAAAACAATCTGAAAATCGTGCCAAACTTCAATATACAAGAGCATATTAAAGCTTTGAAAACGCACAATCCTTTAAACAATCTGTGTAGGTTCGGAAAAGTAAATTTCTTTAAACTAAAATTTACTATTAAACTTTCAGTTAATTCGCATTCCGATGAATACTTTGAGACGTTGGAAATAAGCGACGAGGAGCAAGTTGATAATAATTTGGATCGCGATTTCAGCAGCACCTCGTTTTATAAACCGGACACAATAACACCACCCAGATTTAGGTCTAGCTACCAAGGATTCGTTGGATTTATAGATACGTGTCAATGTAAATATCCGAAGAGCTGGGTGGATGATTCGTCTTGCTCGGGGGAGTATTGGGATTCATTTAGATTGGATCCTTTAGATTACAAGACTCCATCGAGTGTAAATTTGGAGCAAAGCAAGTTGGAAGTAGTACCACTAGCTGTGCACGATAAATCCGAATCGAAAATGATCATAGATTATTTGACTCATAAGGCTTCGATTAAAACCGAGTTGGAATTAAACTCTGAAGATTTGGGTGAACACGAAAGCGATATACAAGTCCTTAAAGAATGGGCCTATTTCAAACTGATGGAACAAAGAGGAATGGACATGGATAATCCTGGCGTCGGTTGGGTACCTTGGACTTCGTTTCTAAAAGAACATGAGGAAGAGGTTGCTGAAGAGACAGAATCCATCAGGAGTTATTCCACTGCAGGAACTGAGCAAGATCCAGAGGATGATAGCATTGAGTTAATGTTTAAGATGATGAAAGCTATAATTGACTTTGTCTTCGAATAGTAATTTAAGTTTCTCACAGTCTTGTCAAATGTTTATATTCAATTTCAATTGCAGTTTTTATGAGAACTTCCATTTCACTCTAATCAAGTTGGCTTTTCGGTCAACACCAAATCTGATTACACAAAAATTAAACGAGAAGTGGCACACACCAAAAATCATCAAGCAAGATTTCAAGAGGCCAAAAGCTTCCCCAGTGAAAAAGGAGAAGAAGGCTAAAGGGAAGAAGGAGAAGAGGAAGAAATCAAAGTCTCCGAAACGTAAAAAGAAGGATAAGAAATCCAAGAAAGGGAAGAAGGCGAAGAAAGAGAAACCCAAGAAGATGACCAAGGAGGAGTTAGCTCGGAAACGACAGGAGGAGGCTCTGCTGGAGGCAGAGAGGAGAAGGATTCTGGAGAATAAAGTGTACATGTTTCCATTGGCTGATGCAGCTAGCGAAGACCTGTTCATGGCTATTTTCGAAAACTGGGTGGCCGGAGGTGACAAGAAGAAGAAAGGAAAGAAAGGCAAGAAGGGCAAAAAGAAGAAATAGACTTACCAATGGTTAAAATTCGATTCACTACTACTTTTCTACACACAAAAAAGACAAAACACCATCAGAACCACAACACCATTTTTAATATTTACATTCCATTTCCACACCTGTTACATGCTTGTCAGAACTATTTACTTTTATTTTATAAATATAGATACATTTTTAAATAATGATTATACAATTAAAAGCCTTTATCCATTTACAAACAATAGTGTTTATGATTTTTATTCATAACATCGAATATTCATCTAAAAATTAAGTTAAATATGCTGCCATCTATTTATATAATGGTCAACCCATAGTGTTTAACGTTAAATTATTCGTAGATAACTTCATTCATTTCAAAATTTGAGCTGCTTAAGAAGTCTGAAATTCGCTATCAAACATATTTGTGTGTAAACAACATTGGTGAGCGAATAATTTAGTGGACATGGAGGATTCAGCCAAGAGAAGGAAAACCGATAGTAGCCCAACCATGATTAAAGTGGAGGTGAAGGAAGAAAACACTTTGGGAAATGACTATTTGATGGCCAAAGGAAGACTTCAGGGGGTTCTGAAACAGCTCACTGAACAGTCAGAGTCTGAGAGTGAGGATTCTGAAGAGGAAAATAGAAGTTACAAGCATAGGAAGCAGTAAGTTAACAAAACTTGCAGATAAGACATGATACTTACATTATTTTTGTTTCCTAGTCAAGAGTTGGCAAGGAAGAAGGCTGATGTTGCTGTACGAAGCACATACTTAATGAAGCTGTATGATAGGAGTGTTGATTTGGCAAGATTTGAAGAAGACACACCACTGTACCCAATCTGCAGGGCTTGGATAGCAAATAACAACAAGAAAACACAAACTGTCATCAAGTAATTTTATATAATTATTCAATGTTAATTAATCAGTATTATATCAAAATTGTAATTTTAGGAGAAGATTATCATCTCCTGAACCTCAGGCTTCTTGGAGTGCTTCAGGTGATAGTGACACTTACCACTTGCCTCCACCAAGCAAACCTTTTGTGAGCAGAGTGCCTTCACCAATACCAGAACAGATGGTAAAAACAGAGCCAGTTGATAAATCCAACAGTGAGGAGAAACCAGTGATTTTGAAGCATCAACTTCTGAAGGAACATCTGCAAAGGTGGAATAAAATAAAGAAGAAATGGTTCTTGACAGCAGCCAAGAATGAGGAGAGATATGCAATGAGCAAACACATTTTGCAATCGATATATTCAAGGTAAATAAAAAAATCAAGTAAAAATAAACATAATAATTATGTTTATTTAATTTCAGGGCTCAGGAAAGTATCATGGGTGAATAAATCAAACACTTTTTGTTACTGTATAGATTTTATAGTAAGTAAATAATAATAATAAAGTTTCTATTCAAGTTATTTTTTCTTTTTTTTTCTTCAATTCGGTAAATTTTCAATTGATTACATTGAGAAGTACATATATTATATATATTTGGAAGATAGAATTGTCTAGTTTAAATTAATTAAAAATAATATAATTGAAAAATAACTTGATTGTATTTTCGGATCGTGAAATTAATTAAAAAATCAGCAGTAATTTAGGAACCAAAATGCATACAGTGCTCTAATTGTTGTTGTAAAATAAAATTAATAAATAAATCATTGTTTTCTTCGTTATTGTTATAATTTTTTTTTTAAGTAATAAATTTAACATAAGACATATATAAGCTAATAAAAATTTTCAATAATCAAACAAAATACGTTTGTGTATATGTCTTGTATATACACATATACCGATTAATAACCATACCAATGAAATAAACGAATGTTGCTTTCACATCAACAAAATAAATATGACTTGATAAATTAGTTGATAAGTTTAACTAAAATACCGTTGATGTTTTTTTTGAGTTCCCTTCGTTCAATTAAAATTCCCTATTTATCGGTTAATGATAATTGCAAAACTTCTTCGAGCATGCGTTGCTCCTCGAGCCGCTGTTCCTCTTCCTGTTCTCTCTGCTGCTCTGACAGCAGCAGAGCCATGTTCAGCTCGGAATCGGTGTCTGGGCTAGAATCTACAAGGACCTGGCCAGGGTTTTGGTATAATGCTAGACTAGCTTGTATTGCTCTAGAAATACAAAATCCAAAGATTAGTTAAGATCAAGCGGACGGTGAGCAGTTGGACAGATTATAATATATGTATAAATGCGTGACGGATGGAAGCAAGAACGGTGATGGACAAATCCCGAATGATATACACTATATATATATATGACTCAAATTTCAACTACGTTAGCCTAATTTGAAAGCGAATTAAATTGAAAACTTTTTCTTCCTTGTAACAGTCTTGACGACATCATCAGAAACGGCTTCCGGCGCGAATGATAAACGTTTCCTGTTTGCATCAATATCAATCAGTTCAATTAATGAGGGCTCTCACTATATCAAAACAACATTAAAAAAAAAACAAATGGATTACTCACTTTTGTAATTGCCTCTCCTCTTCACCAATGAAATTCGGTGTGGTTGGACGAGACGGTTTTTTGGCTTTCAATGCTTCCCATATGTCCACCTGCAAAATTACAACAATTCCAAGATTACTAGAGTTTTCTTAACAATATGAAGATACCAACCTCTTCCTTTTCAGTTCCTGCGTCAATCAAACTTTGCTGGATCGCGAATTGCAATAAGTCATCCTCTTCTTCGATGCTGTACTGTCTACGACCGTCGGCCCCGACTAACCAAATTATCATAAACCATTAGTAAAAAAAATGGAGGAAAATAGTGGAAAGTATCTCAATGTGTAAATTAAAGAAATCGTTGGAAAACAAAAAAAGAAAACTCAGTGTTCGTGTATTACCATTACCGAGCTGCGTGTATCCGGGTGGGCTTTGGAAGATGACGTCGTCGAGGGCGCAAGTTAACCTATCCTCTTCTTCTATCCTAGTTACATAGGGAATATCCATATCCATACCGAATATATTTCCAAATGTAATGCGGGCATTAATCACATGAAATAATGGAATTTCTAATACGAACAAATACGAAATTAGCAATGAGAATAATTAAAAATAGATGGAAGAGAGTGTAAACGTGAAAATAAAATAATGTTTCCTAGTTTTCAAGTATGTGCATACCTATTTTGACAGGAAAACCTGATGGCAGTTGCATTTGTATAAAGTTCCTGAGTTTCGCAAAGTGAGAACTGGAGATCGCCATCAGATCGACGATGGGCAGTATCTGCTCTGGAAGCGAGAGCGGGTAGTTCTCCGATAGCCACAGCGTAGCCTTAAATTTCTGTATCTTCGTGTACACCTCCTTCGGCCTACCTATATCCCTACCGTTCAAGTTAACATTCTCATCGAAATACTCCTCCGGCGTTATGTTGCATGGATTACCGGCATTGGAATATTCCTCCTTTATAAAAAAAAAAATAACATTGATATTGATATTTCTTCATTTAGAGTAATTATTTACATTTCGCGCAGCGGCCGCCTGTTTTTCCTCGACTTCCGCGATTCCCAAGAAGTTCTGCAACGGCGTTTTGGTCGTTTTCGATTTGGCTATAGCCTTATCCGTCTCAGTTAGATGCTCGGTTCTGGTCTTGGTCACCAGTTCCACGTTGCTGGCCCCGAAGACTTTGCATTCGTACCCATTGATTGCCTCCTGCTTATCAGACCTCCAACCCCACATACCAGCTTTGTTCCTACATCGAAATGCATTGAAATACATTTAAAACTAATTGAAGATTAATTACCTCTCGAAGCTAATCTTATCGGTGTCTACGTAAGTCGTAACTATTGGAGTGGTGAGTCTTTGAGACAAAGCTTCTTCGGACGGCGAGAGCAAACCTTGGGCCTCGTCCGGCGCTCGCATCTGCTCGCAAAACACCTGCTTCGCTTCATGATCAACCTCCATCATCGTAGCACCACCATCTACAAATCAACATACACTTAAAACATCTTAATCAAAGCTACAACTAAAACCAGAGCTCAACATGAATAAACGTTAAGCTCTGCATGTAAAATTACTCGATTCCTATAAGATTTCAGACTTTAAGATAATTTACAAATATGTTCAGTTTCGAGCCCAATTACATCATAAGCGAACTTAAAAGTATAAGAAAAAAAATTATTGTACAGCCACATCCTACGTGTTGATATTGTATAGTACCTTGTCTTATAATAATTGAAACACAGCTATCATTCATCCAACTAATCTAAATGATGTTATCACACATTGGACAAAGTATAACTGCGTTTAAGAAGTAGCTTGCAAAGTGTGTGCTAGCTTAGCAAAGCGTTTATGATTTTACCGTTCCCCTCAGTTTTCTCTAACGAATAAATATAACTCCGGTTTCCTCTGATCGCCTCGCAAATTTGTATGACTAATTAAATCATTAATGATAATCTCGCAATTAACGCTATGGTTTTGCACCTACCGTGACCCTGGAAAATGTAGCTCCTGTTTCCGCGTTGCCAGCTCGTGTGATCGAATCCCAACAACGTTGTATCTATCCTAACATTCGAGCCTTGCTTATATACCTTGTATGTATCGCTTGGGCACATCCTCGATATCAAAGGAACTAGAATTTAAAACAATTATTAACTTATTCAATAATTAAATTGAAGTTGGACATACCCCAGCTTGTAAATTCCCACTTCATTTCAACGTAAAAATCTGGCGCTTCTTTCAGCTTCTGCAACAGCTCAGGAATGCCGGCCATGCGATTCGAATATCTTTGGAAATCTCGTCGCTGAAGGACCATATGCAGCAGTTCTGGATCCCCAGTGGAGACAGCCTCTTGCACCACTTAAATCATATGTAAATTAAAAATTGTACTAATCCATGTTAGCTATATTGTATTCACCAGTCCATCCATCTGGATTCTCACAGTTGACATTTGCATGATGATTCAATAGAACTCTGACAACTTCCAAATGACCCAGGGTCACAGCCAACATCAATGGTGTCCTGCCACGATTGTCCCTTGACTCGAGCTCAAACTGCAAACAGTAAACTCCAACTTGACATCATGCATATTTTTAGAATCAATACAACATTAAGAAGGCTTCTGCACATCTGCTTTAAATTAAATTATTAAATTATGGCTTCTGACCAACCAATCAAAGAGTATGACTAAGTAATTGTCCCAGATAATGATGGATTATGACACATTAACAAATTGTTATCAGGAGGAGTGAAAAATCAATAAACTATGACCTATAAGCTGTTCTCCTCTTTTGTAATGGGACCGAAATTATCTGATTTACTCACGGCGTTGATGTGGAGCTCCTCTTCCAGTTTCGTGAAATCATTGTACCACACGAACCAGTGCAATGGGTATTCCGATTTGATGAACTCGGCGGTCACCATTTTTCGCGAATCTTCCCTTCCTTCCTTCGGACGTTCCGATTTCTATTGTAAAATTTCCAACTTCTCGCCCAATCAGCTCGACCCTATCATCACCAAAGCTGCAATACTACAATTTTTTCATCATAACTTCTGCACCAAGCACACAACTCGCATAAACAAATAAACTTTGATTTGACACTGACACTTCACGTACGTCAATCATATTTGAATTAAATTATACTTGGTAGCAAATGTACACAGTCTGTTGTTATGCGCATACCAAGTACCAAAACCACTTACAAAACTCGCTCTCATTAATAGGTAGGATTAAATGGGTGTGATATGTTTTCACTGCAAGCACAAATCACCTTTTACCATGGATAATGGATAGGATCAAATTGGATTTACCTGTATTGAGGTTAATATAAACGACGAAGAATTTTGTAACGTTGGTCACAAGTGTTATGCTGGTTGCATTGCATAAGTAACATATGCAACTTTTACGTTGGCATCATTTCAAATATGTCATTATGCATTTAGTTCGTGCGGTTGTTTTGTTTAGTATTATTTTTCAGCAACAAGCGTAAAATCGATATTTCAGTGTTCGCTACAAATTCAGCTGCCTCTAGTTCCAACTGGACCGAAGAGGAACCGGTGACAATGGTGTTCACTAGGAGAGTAATGAGCGTCACCACTGATAGCAGAACTAAAGAAATAAATTTGAGGAATGCAGATTCGCTGTGCTGCAGCAAATGCTGCGGCGAGAGTATGTACGCAGGAAAATTATGCTGCGATTGTGGCGAAGGCAATGGAACCTTAGATTGGCTCTGGGATGAATCTTGCGAAGGCAGTGATTGCGTTATTGCTAAGCAGAATAAATGTGAGGTGTTGTTTCATCCAGTTTACAGCTCTGGTACAGCCATAATTCGAGGTGACCAAGTCTTTGAGAAAAATTTCCATTACTATTTTGAGGTGAAGATTCTAACAACTCTGTATGGGACTGATGTTGTAAGTTTACATGTTAAATGTTTACATGTTTTTTGTAATAAAGATATGTTTCTTGCTTCCTGCAGATGGTTGGTGTGGTAACTCCTGATGTCAACTTCAAGAAGTATCAGTTAAAGTTCTGCAGCATGTTGGGCCATGATGATAAGTCTTGGGGATACTCATACAGTGGTCATTTGCATTATTATGGGCTGACGCGCAAGTACAGCAAGCAGTTTGGATTGGGCAGTTTGGTTGGGATGTACGTTGACATGTGCCGTGGAACCATTGAATATTACTTGAACAGAAAGCCGTTGGGTATTGCGTTCAATGGTTTGAAGGAACACAAGTTGATTCCGACGGTTTGCTCGACCGCTGCCCAATCCGCTGTTCGACTGACTTGCGCTAAAAAGTTGAAGCCTTCTTTGCAATTGACCGCTCTCAATAAGATCTCTAGAAACACGGAATTGACTAACAGCTTCTTCGAAGTCCCCGGTCTCTCCATGCTCTGCCAGAAAGATTTCTTTTGGTTGACCCCAAGGAAAGATTGTAGCTATACTAATAACTTCCTAGGACATCAAAAGTTAATCGTTTTCTGTGTGTTTCAGACATCGAGCAAACTGAGCAGCTGACTTTAGAGGATGAGGTGGTTTTGTCGCTCGATAGCGAGGGTAAACGGAAGAAGGTTAAAGTCGATAAATGGGGAATTTACATTGGACCGTCGCACGCTAAGAAAAGGATAAAGAGACGTAAGAGCTGCAAATGCGTTGTCATCGAGTCTGGAGGCTCCAAGCAGGTAATGACCCAAGCAGAATTCTTGGACGAGGCGAAGACAAAGGAACATTCGCTTCTGCATTTCCTACAGCATCAGCTGTCTCGAGAAGCCGAAGAGACCATAAATCTCTATTCTGACGACGACAACGATCCGATATTTGGATTCAATTACTTATTTGATGAACGTAGACGTAGAAGAAGGTTGGTAGATGAGGACAGCTCCAGCTCTGATTAAAATAACGAATCTATCGCATTCGAATACTTTAAAAAAAAAGAAAATATGTATAATCCAAGGATTGGTTGATCCAAAAACAACACATTAATTTTTAGCCAGTAGAAGGGCTTCTTTTTTACATTTTTTTTCTTTATTAATTCGAAATTGTTATTGTTTGTATATACAAATCTTTATAAATGTATTAATTTGGAAGCCGCTTTAAAATAATATTAATGGATAATTTGCATTTAGGTGTAGTAGAACCCAACAAATTTGTTTAAGAAATAATCGTACGTTTAGGAATATTAATTATAATCACATAATATGTTACGCAATTCAATTCTTAATATCTTGTAGAAAGTAATAAGATGATACTATGTGTAATAAATAATCTATATAACGTATAACTAAACTTGCATAGACTTAGTAAAATCTCATTGTTTCAGCTAATTGTAGTAATGATTAAATTGTTATTTGTTTGTCATTATTGTAACTGGGATTTATTTCAAATATTAATTAAGCTTAGGAAAAAAAAATTGATTGTAATGGGAAGAATTTAATGAAAACAGTAGCTTTTTATTGTTTAATAAAAACCGGGAATAATACAGAGCGAATACACTTTATTTAACTATTAATTACAATATGTATCATCGTGTTTTGTTTTTATATTTTTTTTTTTTTATACATGTACTCTTATTAATAATCAATGTTTGCTAAAGCTACAAATTTCAAAGGTGACTTCATTCATAAATATCTTCCTTATCAGCGACGTATCTGACTATGTCTTTAGGCTTTAGCAGCTTCTCAGCATCCATATCTGGGATTTCAAAACCAAACTCATCCTCCATGGCCATTATGACCTCAACATGATCCAAGGAATCCAAGCCCAGGTCATTGATGAAGTGACTCTCCAGTGTGAGCTACAATCAACACAAAGAACAGTTAAAGCTTCTTTTTTTTCTCTCTTCCATTCAATATAAAAAGCAGAGCTAGTGTCACCAATAGATGTGATAATTAAGTGAATGCAAATGTTACCATACCTTTTCAGGATTGACTTTGTCATAAAGCTTAAGGACCAAGAGCACCCGGTCAGTGATTAATTTCAGTGATAGCGGAGGCTTGGAGCTGTAACACCGCTCTACTGGTGACACGAGTCTCTGCAATGTACAAGAGAAGAACACAATTGAAATACCTTGTCCGCTGTGACTTTATCGTACGAGGCGCACACTTTCAGTACGCGCTCTTTGATCTCTTCCTCTGTCAGCTTAGACTTGGGCTGACTCGCATACAGACGAGCTTGAATCTGAATGGTGGAAAGCAACTTTGATTACAAACGGGCGATCATGGAACGCCATTTTTTTTGTAGGTTAGGAAAAATTATGTAACTTTCGGTGGAAATCGATTGATATTTACGATTTGCCAAGTGCGCAATTTCGATGAATACGAAGGGCTTGTCCCAAGTTTTACTTTCAACTACTAAGGGGGAAATGTTTTTCTTAGTGATTTTACCTGATTGCTAATGAGGAATTGGTTACTGGCAACGAGGCTATTTGATGATTTTAAGCATTTGTGAACGGCGACTGTTGCGGGCCTCAGGGCGAAGGATCGCAGCACCACAGCCTGCCTCGTCAAAGCGCGGATATTTTTCGCGATTCCTGCCATTTTCACTCACTTTTCCACACACCGTATTTTCATGTAATAATATGGTCGAAACAGACCCTGGCGCCCCCTGTGGTTTGAACGTACCAAAGAAATTAGGTGATGCCAAATTTATAAAAAAAAAATAACAATATAACTAACAGGAAAACTTCTTCATCTATTAACATTTCCTAATATTTCGATGCTAATTTATTTATACCTTGTTAATTACTAGGTTTTTTTTTAATTAATAACAATTTTAATGAATTATTACAGTTAGAATTGAAAGGCAACGGTGGAGGATATTTTAAATAATTCATTACGAAATCCGACAGGAGGCTGCAAATTTCTTTAAGATCAATCGACTTAAAGCGAGATGGAACATATCTTCAGCCTTGTGTAAGAACGAAACGCACTGAGCGTGTGATAATTTGGCGGTATAACCTGCAAGGAGCAGGTGACAGCAGCTAGTAGCCATTTGTAGACTTCATTATTAAAGTGCACAGGAGTCCATGCCGTCACGATAATTGGGATTCATATTTTCGCTGTATGTCATGTGAAAAGACCTATCGCACTTGAATTCGATTTAGAAAAGCTGCCGAGGATGTCCCAAGACGAAGGCTCCAGTCCCACCAATTTGCGCGAATTTCGCATGCAAAAGAAACCAGTTTTGTCCCACAACAAACCCAGCAGCAATGGTCTACTGAACTCATGTAAGTGTACATTTAGATTTCGTTTCGCTAAGCCGCCTCTTGATTTTATTGTAAGTGTCAATTTTTTTGTTTTTCGTTTACTTACAAAGCTTGGTAAATTGCAGCGACCGAGGTTAGCCCAGTTAAAACGCCTATTAGACGTAGAATAGTTCCTATTTTAGATTCGGACTCTGAGGACTCCGAGATGCACGCGAACGGGGCCCACAAGCCTTCTGTCAGCTGCAGCAGCAGGCCTGTCCAGAAGAAGTCAGACAAGGTTCTGGAGAGAGAACGCCAGGTCCGCTACCTCATCAAGAACTTCCCCCATGTTCAATCATTCGTAAATTAACCATCTGCCCACTCATTGTTCTTCACACTAAATGTAAACTGTTTGCAGGAAATTTATGAACTGATTTCCAAGGTTAATTTTGACCTGGAAGTTGCTGTTAATGAACTTAAGCTGACATTAGAGAAGGGTGTTGATATCATTGATTATAAAGATTGGAAAGAGGAATCGCCAGTGAAACAGTTCAGGCCTATTTTAAAGCGGGAGAGAATTGAGCACATAGTGAAACAAAGCAAAGGTAACAACAATTTTGTTTGTTTTTCTAATCCTCATACTTTCACTTCATCTAATTTCATTCAAAACTGAATTAATATCTATAATTTTAATATAGCCAAGAAACGCAGAATTGATCATCATGATGAGGACAGTAATGATAGCATTAAAGATTTCAAAGATAATAGAGTTTTTGACAGGTAATAAAATAAAATAAAAATAATGCGTTATTGTGATAAATCGATGAAAATTTACAGTGACGAAGATTCCGATGTCGAAGTATCAAACGAGTTGACTGGTGACAAAAAGAGAGTTCTCGAGTTCATGCAAACGGCGAAACCCAACGAGCTGCAATTGATGTCTAACTGCTCTAAAAAGAAAGTGGATGCGATTATCGCAAGTAGACCGTTTACCGGTTGGATCGACTTGGTGAGTGACGCAAAGAAAAATTATATCAATTTGCAAATTTCATTAATTCCGTCGACAGGTGAAAAAGCTGGAAGAAAATAAGAATCTCAGCGGAGATATTCTGAACGCGGCGCAACGTGTTTTAATAACCAGAAATAATATTAGGCAGCTGATGAAGAAATGCGCAAGTATTGCGTCGCAATTGGAATGTGCAATCAAGAATGAAGGAGGCGTTAAGAGGCAACCTTCTAATCTGTCCTCATCGTAAGATATAATTCTCTTGGATTTATTTGTTTATTTTTTTAATTTTTTGTTTGTGTGTAGATTGAAGTTAACAAATTACCAAATGGTCGGGTTAAATTGGTTCGCTGTTTTGCATCAGCAGGGCGTGAATGGTATTTTGGCGGATGAGATGGGATTGGGTAAAACTGTTCAGGTGATCTCATTTCTGGCGCATCTGAAGGAAACGAAAGCAGCTATCACCACGCACTTGGTGGTTGTTCCAGCATCTACTCTAGGTAATTTATTTAATAATTTAAAAATTGAGTTTTGTTTTTATTTGAAATTATTCGATTTTAAGAAAATTGGATGAACGAGTTTGGAAGATGGTGCCCTGAATTAAGAGTATTGCTTTACTATGGAAGCGCAGAGGAACGTAGGAGCTATAGATTTATGTTCGCCGAGGGGAAGCACAAAGACTTCGATGTCGTTTTAACTACGTAACTATTGGTTTTGAATTTAGTTGAAATGTTTATGTAAATCGTTGTAAATTTTAGTTATAATATGGTGAGTAGCAGTCCGGAGGAACGGAAGATGTTCAGGGTGACTCCGATGCATTACGTAATATTTGACGAAGCGCACATGTTGAAGAACATGAACACGCAACGTTACGAAACATTGGCCAGGATCAAAGCAGCCAAACGTATCTTGTTGACTGGAACTCCTCTCCAGAACAACTTGCTGGAGTTAATGTCTCTCTTGATATTCGTCATGCCTAATATATTTTCGGAGAAGGCGGATGATCTGAAAAGCCTTTTCCAGAAGAACAATGTAAGAGAAACAACGTTTCTTTTGTATGTTGGTTTAGTATTAATAATTTTGATTTGTAGAAGAAAGATAAGGATAGTGATGATGATATTCCGACATTTGAGAAGGATCAGGTGGAACAGGCTAAGAGAATCATGAAGCCGTTCGTGCTGAGACGGTTAAAACGTGACGTGCTTAAGGATTTGCCCAAAAAGACGGATTTGAAATTGAACGTTGCTATGGTGCCTTCGCAAGAAACGAAATATATGGAGTTGATTACTGCGTTCCAAGAAGCTGGAACAAAGGTTTAGGTTTTTGTGTTGTAATTTTTACTTGTGTTTTGACCGGTGTGTTTTTTTTAGGAGGAGGGAGGTAAATATAATGGTATGACGATGATGTCCGACTTGAGGAAGCTTGCCAATCATCCGCTTTTGCTAAGATACCACTATAAGTATGAGGATTTGCCAAACATCGCTAGAAAATTGGCAGCAGATCCTGGTTACAAGGATACTGTTGTCGATTATATTGTGGACGATCTCGCTTGCATGTCGGATTTCGAGATCCACACGATGTCCAAAGACTTCGCCTGCCTGAAGAAGTTCCAGCTTCCGGACGAGTTGATCACCGTCTCCGGAAAGTTCAGCTTCCTGGACGAGAAGCTGGCCGAGCTGAAGAAAGGCGGACACAGAGTGCTGATTTTCAGTCAATATGTGATAATGCTTAACGTTTTAGAGGAATATTTGGACATTCGCGATCATTCCTATTTACGTCTCGACGGCAACACCGCGGTCACATTGCGGCAGGAGCTGATCGATCAATACTCGTCCGATCCAAACATTTTCATATTCCTGCTGAGCACGAGAGCTGGAGGTCTCGGTATCAATTTAACCGCCGCAGACACCGTCATCATTCACGATATCGATTTCAATCCGTACAACGATCGTCAGGCCGAGGATCGCTGCCACAGGATGGGTCAGACCAAACCAGTGACGGTCTACAGACTGATCTCCAAAGACACCATCGAAGACGGCATGTGGAATCTGACGCAGGAGAAGCTTAAGCTGGAGAAGGAGATTACGTCCGACGACTACGAAAACACCGAGACGAAGAGCGTCGTCACGCTGCTTTCGACCGCCTTGGGAATAGATTCTACCAAAATGGCTGGGCTCGTCACGCAGAAAAAGAAATCTTGATAAATATAAGCTCATTACTTTCTTGACACACACCCTCTGTTTTACTGTTGATCAGTTAAAATTGTTTTCGATTTACATATTTAGTTCAATTACATATTTTTTTATTCTACAATACAATTACGTAATAGTTTAAATAATGGCATTTATTTATTTAAATATATTTAACACTTTTTTTATTTATATATATATATATATATAAAGTATACAATTAAATATATATATAAAAAAATATATTTCGCATATATATATTTTGATGAAATATGCATATATAAATTTGTTCTTAATTAATAAATTATTGCGTTTAGTACTCGCATTGTTTGGCCTTTTTAATCTCAATTACAAAAATTTCTTCGAAATGAGACTGAAAATGAACTAATAACAGAATTTGATTTATTATTTATTAACAGATTAAATGTCCGAAATTCGTCACCAAATACAAATATTTTTTTAGAAAACAGCGCAAAGCTAAGTAGATGTAGACTCGATTCGTACATGAATGTTTTTTGGCTTAGATTTAGTTACTTCATCGAGTCTATTCAATGTTCGATTGTAAATAAAAATAAATTGACAAATATTCGCATTTTTACGTTAATTTTAACCAAATCCTGCAAACGAAGATTAAGACAATCTCCATTTTTTTTTTAAACTAGATACGAGGAAGACTGAAGTTCGAATGAAAGTGTAAAGAGAAACATTGAATTATTTATTAATCGAGAGAGAGATAAGTGAAAAATCGAAATGCAATTTATATATAATATATATGTATTGCACTATCTATAATCAATTTATTTCCATTCCATATTAGAAGTATATTTACATAGAAAAAAGAAACCAACAAGTTTTAAAAAAAATAATAGAATACAAATGTAATATAAAATATTTCAAATCTAGTAGTAATAATATATAAATATTTATATTTGCGCCATTTTGGTTACCATCGCAACAAACAAATATCGAGGAAAACAACCGTAACGATTTCTTATAACTTTTACAACACACTCGTTTTTTTTTTTTCCTGTTTCGACCTAGAACTCTTTAAAAACTTTTGTATAACACTTAAAAAAGAAACAGTAAACCCTTCTCCACATGTTTTCGATCTAATGTAATAAAATACCGCCTCGTTCAAAAATCACAATATCTAATCATCAACGTTTTCGTTTTACAAATTAAGAAATCATTATTGGACTACAATTTATTCCTCAATAACTACCGCCCTTCCTTAATCCGGCGAGTGCGGTGCTTCTTTGCTAAAGTATGGAGCAGACGATTTGACTAGAAGCGTGTGGCATACGTCGCAGACCTTCGAAGGTCTCATGTGCGGTCCAGATGGGACTTCACGGTTTAAGCAAATCGAACAGAATATCTGCCCGCAATGCTTGCAGTGTTCTTTTCTCTTATGAGACGTGAATCCGGACCTGCAGGAAGGGCAATCGTCGACGTCTTCGTCGTGCTGCCACCGAACTTGTGCATCGGAATCTCTGATCTTCTGAAGTTGCACTTGCAGACTCTGCGATAAACGCACGAAATCCTTTTGAACGGCTTCGCTGTTATCCAACTCTTGTTGAAGCGACGCCACACGAGACTTCAATTCTGCGTTTTTATCATCGACGCTTTTCTACAAATAACATATTCATAAAAACTCAATTTTTTCCTTAAACTTCAGATTCTTACCTTCAGTTTCTTTAATTCCTCGGACTCTTTTTCCGCTGCTGCAATTCTCTCTTGCGCCAAAGATATTTTCTTCTTCAACCTATCCAAATTCTCCAAATACCTACCTCTGTCTTCTTCCAGCTTCATATTGGTATGCCTTGGAAACGAAAATTAAATTTATGAATCATAACATTTATTTCCATACTCACTTCACTTGATCCAACTCAGCTACAAGACTGTTTTCCAATTGACGCGTATTCATTTGATCGCTTTCTATTTGATCTTTCAACAACATAATCTCCGATCTCAAACTGTTTGTCACCTCTTCAGCGGCTTCCTTTCCAATTTTCGCAATAATCAAATCCTGGTGAGATTTCAACAAAAGCTCTTGCAACTCATCGACGACACTTGGTAAATTGATGAATTCACTCTGCAGCTGCTCCGAGTGGGCAGTGTATTTCCCAACCAAATTATCGTTTTGTTTTTGCAATCTGTCGAGTTCTTGCTGAATCATTTCCCTATCTTTAGTAACGAACATTAGATTCTCCTTCATCTCATCGGTGCTTTGATTGAACATCTCTTGCAATTCCTTCAAATCTTGCTCGCAACATTCCATCTTCGTGCTCAACTCTCCGGTTTCCTTCTTATACTCCTCTCGTTTCTCATTCCATTTTTCTTCCATGTCCTTCCTGAAAGCGATTTCCTTCAACAGATCCTCCTTCTGCCTTTCCAACAACTTTTCCATGTTGGTCACTTTCTGTTCCATGCTCGACGCTCTCTTCTGCTCATTAACCAATTGGGCTTCGTAATTGCTGCACATATCGCACGCCCTCAACTCTAGCTTTCCATCAAACGAAGTATTAGTCGCTGCTGCCATATTATGCACCGGAGATTTATCCATTAACGAACTCTAAAACATCCATAATTAATTAAATAAATTATTTGTTTTATAAACTACTTCATGATCCGGTGTGCAGCACTGTTTGCACTTCTGCAATTGATCATCCGTTGACCGTAATTTATCCTTTAAAGCTTTAATTTCTTCCTCGAGCGGCCCCAGCAAAGACTTCAGCAATTCATCTTCTTTATGGTCATCGTCCTGTGATGTGAAAGCGTCAGCACCCAATTTCTTGACTAATTTCTTCGTTACTGCACTCAGCATCACGCTGGGCGCTAAACTAGACGTCTCCTAAATTGCTTCCATTAATTTTTCGTTCAATCAAACAACATTTTATTCAATTACCTGAACTGTGTGATGTGGAGATTGCTGCTTCTCAGTTTTCAGTTCTGTATTCTCAGTCTCTAAATTCTTAATAATCACCTGCAGTCTGCTCACTTCAGAACCATAAATATATCTAGTAGAACTAGATTCCTCTACGGTTTCTAATAAAAAGACAAAAATATATCTTGTAAATGAAAAATGAGCAAATTTATATATTACCATGCACCAATTGCTGAAGAGTAGCTATTTCCTCTGCAGCTTTTCTTTTCTCATTTTCCACATTAGATTCCAATTGCATGTCAGCTACAAGCAATCTGCTTTGATACTCATTCAATTCAGCTTTTACTTTCTCCAGTTCTTTAATTAAATTATCAGTTTCCATTTTATTTTTGTTCAATTCATCTGTGTAAAACACATACATTATTAGAATCAAATTAAATACAATTAAACAATAATTACCTTCTTTTTGTAAAAACAATTCTTTCATCTTAGCCCTCTGACAATCAAACTCCACCCGCATCTTCTTTGTCTCTTGTGCCAATTTAACTATTCCATCTTCTATAAACAATTTAGTAGCAATTAATAAATTAAAGTCAATGCTTCAATAGACTGTACTTACCGACACTCTTCTCCTCGACGTTTTCCTCAACACCTTCCATATTTATCTAACTTGAAAATGACACTAAAAAAAATTACTTAGCATCAATCAAACCTCCATATTATGTAATTACAGTAATCGTTGATGCTCACTACGCTCATTAAACTACAAGAACCGCTTGTATCTACAAACTCATAAAGAGAAATTTATTATTTTTCAAACTAACTGTGAAACTATGATACTATTTGTTTGCTAAATTTGATAACCTATAAGACCAATAGGAAATGTCACCAAACGTCACTTTGACAACTTTGACGTTCCATCCTGTTTCATCTGTCACATCAAAATCTCTTATCTATTTCAAAAGTGTTTAATGCATCCATAAATAACTTATATAATCACAGATAATATACATACTTGATTGATAATATCTTTTAAACTTTTTAAGATAAACTTATTTTTTTTTTATTAGAACTTCTTACAAAATAGTTCAAAAGTGTAACTGTCAAAATTCAAAATAAATTGTAAAGGTTTTGTGTTGTAAATAAAATTAGTTGTTATTTTTATTGAGTTATTTTTTTATGTGTTGTTTAAAATGAGTAAATCTACCAAAGCGGATTTTAAGAAAACGCTGGTGAGAAACACCACGCAAAGTCTACCGAAAGCTGTGGTGACAACAAAGACCAGTGGCAATGCTTCCAGAAAAGAAGACAAGCAGATCATGGCTAAAGAAAAGAAGACTTTGAATCTGGGTTTACCGGCGATCAATTCCAGCAAAAATTTAGTTAAAACAATGAAAACAGTGGAGAGTGTGCAGCAGAGGAAAGTCCAAGAAAGTAATTTGGCTTTGCAAGATGAGGTTTGCTTTTGTTATACCATAAACATTAAAGTTAACATAACGATTTGTTTAATTTGCAGATATCAAAGAGAATGAACTTTCCTTGTGATCGTGCCATTTACAAAGAACTGATTCCAGTCTGCTCAAAACCTGAACAGGTAATAGCTCATCCTGCCAGAGGACCTTTACCTCTGAAGGATAAAGAACCTAAATTGGAGAACTTCATCAGACACAAGACATTGCCAGAATACACTTGCTCTGCTGCCACACAATCACAGGAGTGGAATGCAGTTAGGGAACATGATGGATTTAAAATGTATAGATACATGCAAAAATTTAGTTAATAAATTACCATTTATTTGGCAAAAGAAAAACAGAAGTAAATTTAAGATGGAATCATTCCCTTGTTGCGTTTGAATTGCGCTCCGCCTTTACGATTGTGATTAGCGCGTGAACTTTTATTCGTGTTCTTTTTGTCGCGATTTTGTACAACTGACTTATCCTGTCCTTGTCCTTTAGCTTTTCCCACCACATCACCGCCTCTACGACCTCTTGAGGCTGTTTGTCTCCTTGCAGCTTCCCTTCTTTCCCTAAATACACAAAATTAAATATTTCATTTAGCTCTGACTTTGATTAGATAGTAATAATAGTGATGATTGCTGTACCTAATAAGAGCAGGATCTTCGCAGAAGTTTTTATTGGGTTTAGGCGTTTCTTCGTCCTCGCTTGAGCTGGGATCGCTTACTAAATCGTAGCCTTCGAACCGATTTTCCATATACTTGTCCTCTTCGTTAACTAAAGTTCTGACACCTTCCACGTCGTCCCTATCATCGTATTCATCATCATACATATCGTACGTTACGTTCGATGATTTCAGGACGAAATCTCGAATCTCCTTCAGGTTAGACTTATCATTCAACATATCTTTAGCGTCGTGGTAGGTGGGTTTCTTTCCGCGATAAGCAAGAATCGGCTGCTCGGGTTTAGGTTCTGGAGGTACTCTAATCATGTCCCTAGGTAAATCTTGCAAATTGGGCGATAAGTTATCATCCAATATAGCACTGATCACCTCCATCGAGTCATAGTTGTAGAATTCCAAGCACCTCAGGATAAATTCATCGCCAAGATCTGGAAGCATGTCAAGCACAGAAGCAATCCTCTGCTCAATTTCAGTTTCGCTCAATTTTTCCTCATGACTACTCGTAGTAGCTCTTTCCTCCTTAATCGTGACATTCTTTGAAACGGGAGGAGTTTTCTCTTTAAGTTTCGCTCGGATATCGTTCAACGTTGGTAAAGTACTTAAACATTCTAAAATGTAATCGGATCGCATTGTATCTCTAAAACAGCAAATGTTAATACTAATTACATTAAATTAATTAGCTAATTTACAATTCCGGATAGAAACTTGAGATTATTTGCAATTGCTCATCAATAGGGTAACTGTTGTGGTAATCAATAACGAAGAAGTCATCCTCCAAAGTAGCCGACAACAGTTGCAGTAACTGCTCCATGTATGCATCTTGTTTCATTGGGTTCTGTCTACAACGTTATAATTAAATGAATTTCTCTTACATTTCTATTATTACAAAATCAACTTACTGGCACTGCAATATTTCATCGGTTAAATGTGTTACGTAAACGTGGAAGCAACTCAAGATCTCCGAAGAGGCCAAATTGATTCGATCCGTCAACTTCTCTTTTGCCGAACCGGATTTCTCTACCAACCGATAGATTGTCGGAAATACCCGATTGTAGAAATAGGTCAACCTGTAAGGTATGCCTGCTTTCAAGGAATGAACAATCGCCGGATCGCAGACTGTCATCAACGATTTGAAATAACCGACGGTGTGCATTATGTAATTGATCATCTCTTCGTACCAGGTTGGATCAAACACGGAAGGCTTAGGCCCAATCGACAGTTGAATTAGAATATCTTTACCGTCGAAACCGCAGATTACACCACCGATAGTTTCCAACACCTAAAATTATATTAATTAACAAATAGTAACATTCAAACTTTTAAATACATTACAGATCTTGTGTAGTTCACGAAATCGTCCAACTTAGTCTCATAAGTTTTCTTGTTGTTGTCGGCGAAGTAAAATTTGATTACATCTTTCACCAAGTTATCATTGGAGTATTTGTATACCCAAATTATCTGAAGAACTGTGAAAAATGACAACAATTGCTGTTCTTTCAGCAGCTTATGGACAGTGCTCTCTGACATATATTCCATCTAAAGAACAGAAGATGTATTACATTTTCAAAAATAAATCTACGTTTAATTCACCTCAGTTTCTTTGTACGTCAACATTCTCCCATAGATCTGCGCGACTTTAAAGTAAATATCCTCGTACATTTCCAGATGATCGCGTTTCAGTTCTTTCAATTCGTACCAGTCAAGTGCGTCAACTAGGAAGCTTTCCAACATAATCTTCACTTGCGGATCGTGAATTACGTAACACCAGAACTGCTGGTAAGTGCATTGCAGAAGGAAATCCAAGCATGCTATATACTGCGAGTTTTTACCAAATTCCACGTTTTCTTCTGGTGGAACATCTGTGTAATATGGTTGGAAGAACACATAAGTCCTTTGCTGAAGCCAACTTTTGTGCTAAAAGACAAGTGTTAATACATTGATAAACATTCATAAATATTGTTCATTTTACCAAAGCTGGTCTCTTTTCCACATAAACATCATAGTTTTTGTTCAAATTATCTTTCAGTTTCTCCAAATCCTGCAAAACATTATAAATTCTATAATAAATCATTGAGACTACAACTATTAAAAAAAGAAATGATACATCCTGACAATAAGGATGCAATGGACAGATTTGATGTAACATAACTACCTGATTCTTGTCAACCTTTTTTTTCTTCTTGCAACATTTGATTTCCAAGTTTAATTCATTTAAAGGTAATCTATTCGGATTCTGCAATTAATATATTAACAAATAGAAAAAATGTATATTATAGCTATAATTACTTTAAAAATAGAGCCATTTTGCAGTAGATAATCCATATTATTACTACACCTTTATTACTTATTTGGTTCACGTCAGGATATTTCACATTATTATGAAAAACATATGTTCGTAGTTCATGCATTTGAACTACTGCAAATAAAGTTGCATATATTACAATAAATTTATTTTTCGAAATTGCTTGAATTTTTGTAATTAAAATACTTCTAATATGGATTTAATAAGTTTTCTTATTGTATTTATTTGTACTGTTACAATTTTGTAATAACTTAAAGGTAATTGAAACAACTATATGGTTGGAATTATTAAGTTTTACTTTTCTAGGAAAAACTTTCTATAGTATTTTCCAACATCTGAATTCTCGAAGTCCAATTTGAATTCGATTTTCTTGATCTCATCGATTCCCTCCTTCTTTTCAGGCTGTACGAAATTTTTGAAATAAGTATAGATGATGATATCGTTGACCTGCTGATGAGTGTTTTCGGTAAACTGCCGGAATTTGTTATTGTGCCTCGCCATATCCGTATTTACGTCCATCACGAAAGCCCTGCAAGGCACTTTGAAGTTCTTTGCGCAAAGCACAAACTGCTTTCGGGCTTCTTCACTTGGATTTGTATTATCCACCACAACTGATTTCTTTTCCTGCAACGCTTTCTTCACCGCATTCAAGCATGCTTGTGCGGTCTTCAGGGTATCCCTATTCACGTAAACGTATCCTGCTGGTATCAGGACCTTCTTGCAGAATGTCGACTTTCCTGATGCGGGGCTTCCAACCATCAGAATCATCTCTGGAGTTTTGGGTAGATCAATAGTATAAACGCCCGTTTCTACCTTAGATGGATCGAATTTCGGCGGATCGTAGGTGGATTTCGGTGCATCCAAAAAGTATTCCTCCGGCGTATAAAATTTCAACCCAACGTTCTGAGCGAACAATCGATCAGCTAAAGAATGATCTTTGTTTATTTTCAATTTCTTGTTTCCGGGTCTTCCAGCAGCGTCGCCCACATAAAAAGATTCCTCAACATCAGCTTCAGTTACATTCTTGAGCAAATCCCACATGCCAGGTGACGGTTTCCTGTACTTATCAGAATCAGTTGAGATGAACACCAGGAAAGTCAAACCCAACTTCTCCAAGATATTGGTAACCTTAACTTTGAATGCATTCACTTTATCATCTGCATTGTGAAGACCCCTCTGGTTTGTGAACAAGACCAACTTGAAATCCTCACTGATTTCTTTCAGTTTCTCTGTGATATTTGGGAACAGCAAAACCCAATCATTCTCATCCACTGGGAACCTCTTGCCAGACTTGGTTTTAATTAAAGTACCATCCAAATCAAAGCTGGCCACTTTACTGGTTTCCTTGATATTCTCAGGAATGTATGCAATCACATTAGGTCTTAGCTTCTTCCAAACACCATCACCTTGCTTAGCAGCAGTTTTGATTGCAGGTGAAGCTTTTGCAGTTTTAAAGATTGAGGCTATTTTCATCTTCTTGTTTGCTTGATCTGGAGGATTATCCAAGGATTTCCTTTTACCTTGCTCATAGAACACAGAGTACGTGATGTTCTCGTCAATTTTAATGAGATCGCCATCGCTCAATTTGTATTCCTTCTTGGGGATCAAAGCATAACCATTGAGTGTGGTATCAGAGGAATCCTTCAAAATTAAAATTAATTTGTTATTAGCTTGAGACAACTTCAAATTCTTATCGTCCGGAATGTTGACGAGACTTTCAGTTATTTCTATCTTCTTATTTTTCGCCGCATTCAACAAATACCCACGAATTTTATTCATCTCACAAATTTTCTGCAATTTAAGGTTATGTTATTTACTTACTGTTGGTTTTTAAGGAAATGAATCAATTATCTGCAAGTAAAGAATCTTTAAGAACAATAAGAAGTATTAATAACAATTCTATTGGTTAATTAAGTGAATTTAGTAATTAGGTGTTTTTTTTTAATAATTTTAAATTTAAATTAAGTTTTTGTATGATTTCTACAGATGGAGCTAGCTGTGTTAGGGTATTAGTTCGACTTTTCCACATCCATGTGGGGGTTGGAAAAAAAACTTTTTTCCCATGGGATTTTAGGTGAAATTACGTTCGCATTTAACCTGTAGCTTAAGCCAGACAAATTTCGCGTATTTTTCCAGCGATTTGCTTATAATTTTTACTCTGGTTCTACTTTTGTTGCTTCTTTTTTTAGGTTGCGCTGCACTGGTAGATCTATGTTGTGCACTGACGTCAAGTTGACTTGACATTAGTCGGTGTATTCGCGTAGCAGACGTGAATATTTTGCGCTTAGTGTTTATTATTGAAAAAAAAGTTTAGTAAATCACGGAACGTTTTCGGATGTAAAAGAGAATCGCAGCAGCTTTACACACGCAGACACTCAGGAGTACGAATCGAAAAAGGCAGATTTAGGTATAAAAGTAGTTTAGAGAGAGCGGTGGAGAGACACACGGTGGTATCTCCTGGCAGAGCGGAATTTTTGGCCACGACGAAGTGTGTAAATTTTTTTTCTTCACACGAAAAGTACGGTCGCATTTCGGTTATTGTTGCGTCCCGTCGACTGTATTGCATTGTGTACGTGTATTTTCGATAGATTTTCTCGTATTCGTTACCGTTTTCGATTCGGTTTTTCTCCCTGAACGGAGGGCGGTGTCAGCTGATCTCTTCGACTTCGCTCCTTTCATTCCGTATTATTTTACTTTGTCGTCGACTTTCATTTCTCGAAATACACATACATATATCTCATCCACTTGGGAAAAGACTAAAACAAAAATAGAAATCGAGTGCCTTCTTTTAAAATAAATGTGCACGCATTTGGTGAGAAGAGGAAAAGTCGCCGGGTTCTAAAAGGTAAACTTGCAGCCAGCCTTCCTTCGCCGTGTCCTACCTCAACCCGATCCGCGTTTTCCCAGCGCTATTTTCGCAATTTTCACTGCCGCCTGACACGCAAGCAGAAACCCATATTACCGTGCATTCTACAAAAAAAAATCTTTCCCAACCTATCGCATCCCCTATCGCATTAATCGATAACAACGACGAGGTCTATGCGATTCAATTCCTTTGCCTTCCGAGGCGCGAATTCATAAATACTTAATTAATATATGTATTTTATATACATTTATATCTGCATGTGTATGTCTATATATATAATGTGCACCGTCTGCGCGTTCGCAATGTATTCCTCGAAGGTCGCCAATTTGAAGGTAACAACATGCCAGCGACTTATGCCGCACCGCCACCGCAAAACTGTTGGAATTCCATCAGTTCTGTGTGTGTCCATCTTTAGAGAAAGAGCAGCAGCAGCAGTAAATTTTTTCTTTTTTTTGCAAAACTATTTTGCTTCTAATTGCTTCGGTCCGAGAGACATCCTTCCTACATTCACAATGCACGGCATCCACTAAATCAGGTCTATCCTTGCGGAGATCAACTTTCTACAACGTGTTACTTGCTATTCTCATTCCGTATTTAATGTATAAATCGACTTCAATAATAAGTTACTTACATCACAAGTAACTAATTGCTGTATCTTCCTTGATTGTTCTCTTTAAAAACTACAAAAAAGATGTTTAATTCAATTTACAATGTGTATAATTGCATCATTTCAGTTATTAAAAGTAATTGGTGGAAAACACAGCTTCTTTTCCATGCAGACGATATTGATTTTTCTCTCGAGAATATAAAAATGAGAATGTTTAATGCAATTGATTTTCTTTTGGATAAAATTGAAATCTGAATGTTTTCGAAATCTATGGAATCCCGATTTACGTTTACTCGCACTAGCGACTGTGAAATTGGAATACATAATTTGTGCAGTGGTTATTGCGTCATCGAATATTTTTTTTGTGCTCGTGCAGCCTTCGGACGAAGAATTGCAAACGAAAAAATATATAATATGGACGAACGTGTTGTGTGAATACAAAAAAATATTAATATCCGTAACTTCCGTTTGAAGAGTAGATTAGTTGAAATGAATAAGTATAACGAGTTATGTGTATTTGCTACAATTAATGTAATCAAGAGTTTTTTTTTTCTCCAAAATTTTCAACTTGAGAAATATTCCAAATCCTTTTTGTTTGCTTTTATAAATATATTAAATAGAGAAGAAATATCTTTAAGAACTTAGGATAAATAAAATTGATGTACATTTTGTATATTCACTAAACTGATGTATTTTATTAGCTAAATTTCTTCAAAACGTTCAAAATTGTAAAAAAAATATTAAGTAAATAAAATGAACTTAGGACAAATAAAATGAACACAATTTACCTGTGAAAAGTTATTTCAATTCACTAAATTGATTCATTTAATAATGAACGAAGACTTGTGATGGAAACAGCTTAAGAATTATAGATACTAGAGCTGCAAAGTTTCATTGGTCTTGAGAATTTAAAAATTACGTAAGTTTTTTCTTTATTTTGTAAAACGAATGTTGGGCTGAAAACTTGAAGCGCTCGAAAAATAAACGAACACACACACAAGTCATGGTATTATTTTTCATAATTGGATATAAGTACTAAAGGAAACAGACACTAATAATAATATCGAATTCTCATAAACATGAAAACAGATTTTTGTCCTTGCGCGTACGTGGAGAAACATGAAACCGTTTTCGTACAGAAACTGTTTGTGATAATAGGTTTATTTTTGCTGTATATATAATTACAGTTCAATATTATCATTTCGAGAAAACGTTAATTTAATTTATTGAGAAATATCGGAAAAATCTATGTATTGTTCTTGTTTTTTTTTGCAAATGTTGTTTTCTTAAATCAACTACCTTGGGTACTAAACTATGTGGAAATTAGTCATAATAATCGCGTGATAAGAGAGGAGGAACTGGAACTGAAGTGCGAGATACGTACATTTTATTTATACCCAATGCATGTGTATATATGAAACGCATGAATCATTCGGTATTTATGCCTTACTTTACACAACTCTTCTTTGTCCCTCCAGCATTATTATTACTATTTGCGTAATTGTTTCTCAATTTCAGGAATAATCAGACAACAATACAACCATGAATCAGACAATTGAAATACTGTTAATGTTTTCAGTTAAATTCAGATTTTTCATGTGGGAATTGAAAAATTTCTACGATTGACGCACAGAGAGTGACCTGAACAGGTGGTAACCATCTGAGTAGGAACATCCCGATTATCGGTGGCAGATCTCACCCCATTTCAGTTCTATTTCTGTACATCCGATTTCGAACGTGAGATCACCGACGTAAACATAAACGCAATAGTAACGTTCCTCAACTGTCTTTCCATATTCCTCAACTGTCATAGGATCCCAGGTGGCCATGATTTAATGAAACTAAACTTACAAACGCCTATACATCTCTTGGCATCTTTTTTAAGGGATTTGTTTGAATGCAATTAAATTATTGTTTAAATTATTTTATTATTTGCTAAACGTTTATTGTTCATGCAAATAATGCAAAGCAAATATTGTTGTTATCTGTACTACTCTACGCATTAAGTAAACGAATCGTATCTATTGTTTTGTAATATTGTATTTAGGAATGTTGACACATTCCAAAAGCAGACTAATCATAAATACACACGTTTTCAACATTCTTGATTTCTATAAATACACGTTAATAATTCATGTTGTGTTTTATGAAATATTGAAAAGCTATAATAGTTTGCTTAAACTTTGGTATACAAATTACAATTAACTGTTAATCATAAATAAAAACATTCTAAACATCATTGCTTAATTTAGTATATATTCAATGAAAATCGTAATAACTTTAAGTATTAGTCAAATCATGTTTCTATAAAATTAAAAGAAGTTTTTTATATATAAATCAATGATAAATATAAAATATTGATTATAAAGTATACATGGCACTTCACTAATTTATTTTGTATATCATGAAGTATTGGAAAGCTAAAGTTAGCTCGAGTAGTTTTCTTAAACTTCGGTATCAAAATTATAATTAACTTGTATGATTTCGGGCAAAAGCAATTGGGTTCAGTTTTATTATTCGTGTTTGCTTTTTAACGAGCAGACTTTGAAAATTTGTGCACTACAGTGTGTGCAAAGTATTCCTCATGCCCTGAATTTGTTTCCGTGGATATTCGCTGCATATATGATTTTACTATCAAGACTGAATCGTATTGAAATATGTGTGCATATTATATAAGTTTGTATGATGAAGATAGAATGAGATAGTTCTGTTATGTAACCATGACGGATGTGTCGAAGCAATTGTTTTAATCATAAATTTAGAGTGCGGAAAGGGCGAATTTTGCATTGTGCTGCATCAATTAAAACGAATAGTTGGCGGATGCAATTGTTTTAATTTGATGGCAACGTGCGGTGAAGAGTTGAAAAGGGCGGATTCTGTGAAGTAGCAGCGCGTAATGCACCTTTATTTCGATGGTAGTAATGTAATGACTATGATGATGATGATAATAATGATAGTAAATAGATGAGATGACATTAGAGAGAGGCACGGTCTATGGAATGGGGCTACGACGTGACCTAGCATATCCCATTCAGCTTTCTCCATGTACAAGATCAGGGTATATAGGAGGATGGAGCGTTGTTGTACATTGCGAGGTCGATGACCAGACTTTGGGGAATCAGACAGAAATAAACGGCGTTCTCTCCCAATTCGCGACCGGCAAAGGACAAAGGCACAGGAGAGGACGAGACACACACAAATGCAGTGTGTGCGAGAGGGAGAGAAACGTTGAAAGAGAGAGGCTGCCGCTGGGGGGTTGCTAAAGTTCGAAAGGCGGATGCGCCGCGACGCGGGGGGGTGTTCGCGCGAAAGCTCCGTCGACGCCCGTTGGGATACGGCGGAAAAACGCTGAAACGTAGGAAATGCCTCTCACAAAATTTAATATAAATCCCACTGGCTGTGCGCGAAAAACAAAACACTGGTTGCGGCGGTGAAAGTTGAGGATCGATTGATTGTTTGTTGAGATCTAGACTTCTTTTTTTCTCTTGATTATGATCTTGAGGATATCCGTAATCTTCAGGGTTAAAAGTCGGGTTTTTTTATTGGTGTGTGGGGTAAGAAGAAGCAGCAGCAGCAGCACCGGAGGGAGTAGCGCAGTCTAGACGGTGGATTCTCCCCCATGCCGCTTCATTTAGGGTGGTTACTATTAATACCAAAGACGGCGGTGGCACATGTGGGACACACAACCCCTCAGGTAGACACGACACGTGTCTAAATACTAGCTGCATTTATATAAATATCAAGTGTGAAGTTAAGGAAGCATGAAAAACAAAAACAGTCGAAGATCAGCAGGGGGTGGTGGCATTGCGGAAGTCTTGGTTTACAGCGAGATAAAATTAGCTCAGGTTTAACGACCTTATCCAGTTATTAGGGGGAATTGGGCCAATTTCCGAACGCCTTTTTTTTTGGTTCTTTTCCCTCTCAATCACATTTTTAACTTACATAACACACGCATTCAGAGAAGAAAAATATTTTTTTTTTGGGTATTTATGAAAAGGCTCCATTCAATGTTGGGATTACAGTAGTATACAAGAGGCGCACGGTCTGGGCCATCTCTCCTTAACGATAAACGACAGTTTAATCAAACTAATATCGATTATGTGGGCTTCTTCGGGCTCTTGAATGCAATCGTTAAATTGCATCCAGAAAAGCTGGATTCAATACATAGAGACCCCCATTGCATCAAAGCACAATCAGTGCTTTTTCTTTTTAATTTTATTTATTTTCATTACTTTTTTTTTAAACAGATTAACCACTCTGGATTCAATTCTCCATTCATTTTCGTTGCTTCTTTGTTTCGATTTTCTGTGTGGTGAATTGAAAGTTTCGGAGCTTCGCTGCGGTGTGTGGGGTGTGGCGTTTCCGAAAAACGATTAGTTTCAAAACTTCTGCTGCCGCCGCCGACGCCGCAGCCGCCCCCGGTCTTCGGGTGCGACGCCCTTCAGACGTGGCCGTCGCCGTCGCAACCGCCGCCTCCTTCCATAACCGAAGAGAAGCGAAGAGTATTATGTTATAACCAAATACGGGAACTTGACCGACGTCGGACGCACACGGAATTTCGGCTGCGAACAATAACATGCACTTATTTAAATTCTACGTATTATTATTATTTACGGTTTTCGTATCCGACTACAATAATATTTGTAGTTTCGTCTGGACTTATCGGGCGCGGCAAACAAAGTGTTTATTTATTTTCCAAGTACTTATTTACTTTGTCATCCTCAAATACTGTGAATCTTTTGCTATCGTTTTACGATTATCACCCATTATTGATATATTTACATTGTGTAATTAATCTACATTCATACATAAACCTACAATTGCATTAATACTTCTTGAGAAATCATAACAAAACAACAACAAGTATTCTTTCTAACAACTATATTAATTTAACTAAGTTACTTTTGAAAATCATTAATTATTGATATAATTACATTTTATAATGAATCTACATAAATTTAACACTTCGACATACGTATAAAATATAAGTTATGTAACGAAAAATAAGTAAATAATTGAGGAAATACTAAAGAAATACAAAAAAGTCAGTGTTTAATTTGACTATTTTTTTCAAAACTAATGCGCTGATACCATGATTTGCATTAAATGTCTTTATATTATTCCATACTTTCTGACAATTTTTTCACATAACTTGAGAACTTTAGCTTGAATTACTGGCTACACTTTTGTTAAAAAACTGCTTACTAGACTGCCGTCAGAATTACTTTACAAGTATTGTATGTCAAAGCCTTAAAAGTTACTTGAGTAATGATAATAATGCAAGTAATATTCATTTAAATTAATTGGCAAATATTGTGTAAAGAGTATTCGTCCAAAGAAATATACTGTAATAGCAAAGTTAAGTCAGGTCAAGTCTGGTTAGGTCAGGTATGTTTAGGTTCGGTTTAACGATCGCGTTAACCCTAACATCCGAGTTACGTAAAATCCAATTCGCATTAAAGTCATCAACGTCAACATCACGTGCAGGCAACGTTATTTATATTTTATAATGATTCCGTTTACGTAATACGCATTTGTAGACAATGTCGTAGACCGACAAAACCATTTATTATAATCGAAATTGACGTTTTGTTATGTAATTGGTCGAAGTCTTTCTGCCTACATTGTTCAAAATTAATGCAATTTTTATACAAGTAATGCTCTTAAGTAAAGAAATGTAGATATTAATGTAATTATCGAGGCAACGGTGAAGTTAATTAAAAAAATACAATTTTTTTAAACGAAGAATAAGATAGATGAGTGCACTTTTATTTAATTATTGTTAAAAGCGTTGCTCGAGCGTAGAAGAAATTGTCCTTTTGCTCTCCTCGCTTGCAAAATGAATTTACCAGGATAACGACCCGCCCGCCTGCTCCCTTTTTGTGCAGTGCGGAGGAGAGTTGTAGCAGAGCGTGCTGTGTAGACTGGGTAGTAGTAGTTGTAGTAGTAGTAGTAGGAAAAGTACTTTGCGGTTTGCATTCTGTGAAGGGCCCCCCCCTGTTCCGACACGCATGCCTGCGAACCGTTGCTGAAAATCAATATGGCAAACGCGAGGAGATAAATCAGTTCCGTCTAGCCGAAACTATTATCCTCATTATAATGATATCCATACTACACCTACCTACCCCACGCATCATCAATATCACCCCCTTTTATTCAATATCTTTCGTTTACTGCTCTTAGTCGTCTTTGAAACAAACACAACTTTGACCCTTTGCAAAAGCGTCAGCAGCAGCAGCAAACGAAGAGCAGCAGAGTTCATTTATTTTTCATTTTCATAAAGCCCGCTTGTCGCTACTGTTGTACCGTACGCGATGGATCGTTCTCTTTAATTAATTTGAAAATGTAATTTCGTTTTTCAGGTTGGTTCGAAATCGTCTGTCGCGCCGATCGAAGGAGACCGGTGGAAAAGAGCTGGTAGGTCGGAATGATAAGAATTCCTCAGGTTTTAATTACTAATCGAATCGAGCGGATGGATGGGAGGAGGTGGTTGGGAAAGCTATTTTCAATAATGCGCCGAATGCACGAAGATTATTGCGATCTCCGCGAATTCGCGACGTTCGTAGTAATAACCCGCTTAGCGCGACTGTGAGAGAGGAGACATCTTCCAGACGTCTCTCATCCTCTTTCCTTTCCTTTTTTTTTTTCTTCTTTCACCGTCCCATCCAGACGGACCGGATTGTAAACTCACGTAAACTCTTCGCTGCCTGCACCCTTCGAAAACCCCCAAAGATTTCCTTTCAGCCGGTGTGCATGTTTTTTTTTCTCCTCCTCTTCCTCCTCTCGCTCTTTTCGTTCTTGCTCTTTTCTTTCAACACACGTGAAGATCTAACCCTCCCGGTTTATCGAGCGGGCATCTCCTCTCTGCACGGTCTCGCCGGATTTAATTAATTGTTATAACGCGTTCCCGAGATGTTTTTATAAATCATTATTATTCCCGACAAAGCTCATAAATAATGTTTACATACATTGTCCCGTCTCGGTCCTCTCTTCATCTCGGTACTCGCTTCGTCTCTTTCTCTTTCGGTGCGTAGGTGTCACATGACTTTGATCTTGACACAAGCCGCGCATTCCGCGATCTCCTTATTGTTTACTTTATAGAGTTCTCTCCTCTGCTCTCGCAGATAATGACAATTTCAATGGAATACGTGCATTTAAAAATAGTCTTGCATTCGCGAGATTCTTCCCCCAAAATGGCGATTCGTGGGACGGACAGATGCTGCGTTTCCGAAACATCCCCGAAAAACATCTTCCTCTCTGACGCGACAACTGATTAATGGTCCGAGCCTCGCGTTCGCCTAATATCACCTTGAAGGGGATGAGAAACGTTTAAAAATAGATCGCTTTGCTTGCATCTGCATCCAGTTGTAAACTGTCTCCACGGAAATTTCAGTCTTAATTCTTACATTTTTTTTTTCTTCTTGATCTTCAACCATACTTTATACATCAAATTTCTTATCTCATCCCTTGATTTATGGAAAAATTTCATAGTTGAAAACGTATTTAGATATTAAGTTTAACATAAAATTCATTATTTTCAATGCAAACTAGATGTTTATTAAGAAATAAATTACGATCTTTTTTTTCAATTGTTTTAGTAAATTTCTTCTGAATTTATGTAACAAATTTGATAAATCTGATACAAATGATGTCACATTACTCACTCACTAACAACATCACTAATTTGTCCATCAATATCAATCATCATTGATTACATGATTTGGAAACATTGTTTTATTTGTTTCTAACATTCATGAGTTAATTGCGTTAATCTTCATAAGACAAACAGTTTAGATTTTCCCTTTAACTGAAATTGTATAAATCTTTCACGATTAGATTTGTTAAATTGAATTTGATTTGTTGAATTTAAACGTTGATTTCAATTAAAAACGAAAATAGAAAGTAAACAATTAAAATGTTTTAGTTTTAATGATCATTAAAATTATCCTTACTCAATGTAAATAATATAAAATTCCCGATTTCTAAATTGTTGACTAAACACAAATTCTAAGAAAAAAAATCTCTAGTTAGAAATTTTTTAACTTCTTACAAGATACGTATGAATCATTTTGGTCGTTGGTCAATCTATAAATTTATTTTCTAATAAATAATACTTGATTAAATCAAAGAAATTTTCTACATTCATACATAAACCTACAATTCCATTAATACTTCTTGTATTCTTTCTAACAACTATATTAATTTAACTAAGTTAGTTTTGAAAATCTTTAGTTAGAAATTGTTTAACTTCTTATAAGACAAATATGAATCATTTTGGTCGTTGGTCAATCTATAAACCAATTTTCTGATAAATAATACTTAAATAAATCAAAGAAATTTTCTACATTCATACATAAACCTACAATTCCATTAATACTTCTTGTATTCTTTCTAACAACTATATTAATTTAACTAAGTTAGTTTTGAAAATTTGTAGTTAGAAATTGTTTAACTTCTTACAAGACAAATATGAATCATTTTGGTCGTTCTATCAATCAATAAATCGATTTTCTAATAAATAATATTTAATTAAATCAAACTAAGTTTTTAATTAATGTCCAGTCACAATTCGCAGTATATGTTTGTGTTTTTTTTTCATGTAAATATTAGTAATTGAAATGACTGGCATGAAAATACCCGAAAAATACTCATTCAAACAACAAAAAAAAATGTTATGAATGAAACCGCGTGGATGCTTTTTTTAATTATTTTTCCGAACAGTGAATTGTTTTCGCTTTGGCACAGTTTACACCATAATCATTTTGTGTGTACGTACTTTTAGTCACGTACGTTCTGTGAAAATGTGTTTTGCACATTGAAAACGATCGATTGTCCCTCGGCTATGGGCATTTTTCATATGAAAACCACCGGATTTTTGTTTTCAAATTTAAAAAACGCATCGGAATTCAATGATCCAGTTTATAAAATTGGATTAAATAAAATGGGATAGTTTAAGTATATGACTGAAACTGTGAAAAATGTGATTTAAATTTCGATTTTCTAATAAAATATTGGGACAATTTTTTTTAAATCATTGGTAAAATCAGTTAGGTAACAGTAATTTGTGTAATGTAGACATTGACTGGGTGTATAATACATGTGATATCATTGAATATGTAGGGAAACGGAAATAACATTCTTTTGAAATACGCTTCAAAGTAACTTTGATGATTCGTTAAAATGGAAATGGGTGGTTTCTGTTCAGGCCTTTCGTTATAGAAGTCGCGTGAATGCTGGGCTCCAAAACCCATATATAAACAACAAGTGTCAACAAATTCCGTCCCAATGACAACGACGAGCAAACAATTCGCTTGAACGAGTAGTACATAGTAATCATCGGAACCTTTGAGCTCTCTCACTCGTTCATTACATGCAAAACGGGATTTATCCATGTTGATTTTATCCCGGATTATATACCAATTTTTTAGCCTGCAACATGATCCACAAACGAATAACGAAATGATCGTCGCAAATATCGACGACTCGCATCGAATCATTGTTATGATATGCGTGTAGAGGCTTTTCTCTCTCTCTCTGTGTGTCTAATGCTAATTACGTCACGAGTGTTTCGCTAATTAAAGTGTGCGTATTTCGAAATGATTGCGAGTGCGGCACGCACTGCATCCAGCACGTGGCCAATACTAATAATCCATCCATACATGCACCGCGTTTCCTAGTCAAAAGCGGAGATTAGCATACTGACAATTTTCGATAATTAGTCAACTTTCTATGCAAATTCCTTCCTTCATTTTCGTGCACGCGACCCGCGACAGGAATGCAGCTGCTGTGATATAATAATAATGCATTTTCTATATGGATGAACTCGGAATTCTTCGACGGAGGGTAAAAAAAATGCAATATGCTCGTAGATATTCGTTCGATATATGCATATTGCTTTCAGCATTGTCATCTGCAACAGAAAAAAAAGTTGAATTTCAAAACGTAGGATTCTCAGCTATTGAATGTTATTTTTTTAATAAATAAACAAATATACTTGAAAAGCAGTGAGATGTAATAGCAAAAAGATTACAGAGTAAAGTTTTATTTATTTTCGTCAGATAGTTTATTACAATTTTTTGTTTGCTTTTCTTTATAAATGTACGTAAATTTCAATACTCTTCATTATTGATCGAAACCGTAAATTGCTAAAATAAATTGTACTACTTTTTACATTTCAATACTATTTATGTTGCTGATTCGCAATTTTACAAATTTCACAAATTTCTTATTGATTTTTTGTAGTTTTCTTTGTTTAGATTTGATAAATATATTTGATTAAGTTACGAGAAATTAATGTTTTTGCTCTAAATCGCAATAAAAAGGATAATATAGCAGTATATTAATTTCAATGATAAAAGGATTCGAGTCATTAATTTTAAGAAATAAACTTTTATTCATTCCTTCTTTCGATGTCCTTGTTTTCTTTGTATTGTATACAGAATTATATTAGTCTGTTAGTGAAGTTTGTATTAATGGGGGTTGATTTATTTATTGAGTTTATTAGACACACAACAAGAAGAAATCAATGCAAAAAAGGATATAAATCAGTTCGTTAATTTAATGAACAAATTGATCTTCGTTTTGACTTTCGGTGTCCTTATTTTCTTTGTAAAGTATATAGAACTGTATCCGACTTTTGATTAAGTTTCAAGAGTAGTTTGAAGATACTAATAAGAAGTTATATTATTTTTAAGGATCAATGTCAGTGTCCTTGCGGTCTTGTCTTTGTCTCTGCGCATCTTAGAGAAATATATTAGTCTGTTGGTTAAATTTGCATGAATGGGATTGATTTATTGAGTTTATTGGACTAATTATATCTACTACAATTAGAAGAAAATGCAAAAAAGTATATAATTCAGTTCTTCCATTTAATGAACAATTGATTATCCTTTTTTCTTTCGGTGTCCTTGTTTTCTTTGTAAAGTATATAGAACTATTTNGCCTCCTAGAGAAATATATTAGTCTGTTGGTTAAATTTGCATGAATGGGATTGATTTGTTTATTGAGTTTATTGGACAAATAATATCTACTACAATTAGAAAAAAAATCATTGATCAAAAAAGAATTGATCTTCCTTTTGTCTTTCGGTGTCCTTGTTTTCTTTGCAAAGTATATAGAAGTATTTTCGAGTTTTGATTAAGTTTCAAGAAGTAATATTATTTTTGAGGATCAATGTTAGTGTCCTTGTGGTGTTGTCTTTGTCTCTGCGCCTCCTAGAGAAATATATTAGTCTGTTGGTTAAGTTTGCATGAATGAGATTGATTAATTTATTAAGTTTATTGGATAAATAATATCTACTACAATTAGAAGAAAATGCAAAAAAGTATATAATTCAGTACTTCCATTTAATGAACAATTGATCATCACTTTGTTTTTCGTTGTCCTTGTTTTCTTTGTAAAGTATATAGAAGTAAAGTATATAGAACTATTTTTGAGTTTTGATTAAGTTTAAAGAAGTAATATTATTTTTGAGGATCAATGTCAGTGTCCTTGCGGTTTTGTCTTTGTCTCTGCGCATCTTATAGAAATATATTAGTCTACAATTAGAAGAAAATGCAAAAAAGTATAAAATTCAGTTTTTCCATTTAATGAACAATTGATTATTCTTTTGTCTTTCAGTGTCCTTGTTTTCTTTGTAAAGTATATAGAACTATTTTCGAGTTTTGATTAAGTTTGAAGAAGTAATATTATTTTTGAGGATCAATGTCAGTGTCCTTGCGGTGTTGTCTTTGTCTCTGCGCCTCATAGAGAAATATATTAGTCTATTGGTTAAGTTTGCATGAATGGGGTTGATTTATTTATTGAGTGGGCATGGGCGGAATCGCCGCCGCCGTCGAGTCTAAGTATAGAATATTCACACGTTTGAAGTAAGAAGTGCAAGGATAGAGGACAAGGATGAAAGACAAAAGGACGAGATGGTTGTGACCGGTTGGAAGACGGAGAGGGAAGCGGACGATGACGCGTCGCGGTGAAGGGTGAGGAGGAGGCGGCGGGCGTCGGTGGCGGCAGTGTGCGAAATTTGAAAAGGTCGGGGCGGCGGCGCGGCGCGACCGCACTCTGCGTCCGGGACGAGGGCGCCTCTCGTGGGTAATTCGCGAACCCGATGACAGGCAAGATGGTGTCCGAGTAGTGTGCGAGTGCGGGGAGTGGCAGTTTTTAGCACAGTTTGGGGTAACACTGCATGTAGACCACGAAACCAAAAAAAAAAAAAACCGAAGAAACCTAAAGAGGAGAGAAAGAGTAGAACTGAGTTAAGAATCGGGAAGAAGAGATAGCGAGAGAGAGAGTAGAATAATAAAGGCAGGCAGAGAAAAGGTGCACACGGGAGGACGAATTTGTATCTGGAAATTCCGTGTCTGCTGCAGAATCTGCTGTCAGACGCCCGAAAGTGCAGAACTACCGACCGGCCGGTGCGCACCTGCAATTCCGCACGGAGGAGAAGAGCCGCTCGCTCAGA